GATGGGCGTGGCCTGGGATGGGCGTGGCCTGCGATCGGGCGTGGCCTGGGATCGGGCGTGGCCTGGGATGGGCGTGGCCTGGGATCGGGCGTGGCCTGGGATGGGCGTGGCCTGTGATGGGCGTGGCCTGGGATGGGCGTGGCCTGGGATCGGGCATGGCCTGGGATGGGCGTGGCCTGGGATGGGCGTGGCCTGGGGTCGGGCGTGGCCTGGGATGGGCGTGGCCAGGGGTCGGGCGTAGCCTGGGATGGGCGTGGCCTGTGATCGGGCGTGGCCTGGGATGGGCGTGGCCTGTGATCGGGCGTGGCCTGGGATGGGCGTGGCCTGTGATCGGGCGTGGCCTGGGATGGGCGTGGCCTGGGATGGGCGTGGTCTGGGATGGGCGTGGTCTGGGATGGGCGTGGTCTGGGATCGGGCGTGGCCTGGATGGGCGTGGCCTGGGATCGGGCGTGGTCTGGGGTGGGCATGGCCTGGGATGGGCGTGGCCTGGGATGGGCGTGGCCTGGGATGGGCGTGGCCTGGGGTCGGGCGTGGCCGGGGCCTGTCTACCGCCGCCCACTGGGGGGAAGGAGGCCGCGGGGCCCGGCACACCCAGGGCCCCCCAAGGGCCGGCCTTCAGTGCAGAAGTTGAGGTCAAGTCAGAGGAGCCCAGGGGCAGGTCGGCCTCGTGACTGAGCCACACCACCAAGGGCAGCGGGGGTCTGCTCCCGGGCGTCCGCTGTGGGCGCGTCCTGAGCCGCGCGAGCCCCGGCTGTCCTGCCCGCGCCCGCCACCCTCCCCAGCAGCGCCCAGGGCCCTGTCCACGCTGGCCTCTCACGGCACGGAGGCAGGCTGGTGCCATGGGACCCCGGGCTCCGGGAGACTGGAGGCTTCCAGCTCCTCCTCGAGTCCACCCACCCACCCCGCTGTTAGAGGCTGGAGCCACAGGAGGGCCGTGGGGGCGGCGGGTGCTCTGGCCCCGGGAGCCCCAGGGAGCCCCAGCAGCAGGCAGCGCCGCCCACGCGAGCAGAACCCCCCGCTAAGCCACCCCGGGGGAGCCCCGGGAGAGACGAGAGGTCAGCGTGAAGCCGCGAGGCCGGGGCGCATCTCACCCACGGAGACGCCCGGACGGCAGCTGGGACGCGGGGCTCCGCGCTGCAGGCCACGGGACGGGGGCCACGCACGTGCCTCCCCTCGCCCATGCACGACACCGGGCCCGGGCTGGCCAGAGCAGGCCTGGCGCCGGGTGCTGGCAGGGGAGCGCGAGGGCTTGGGGTGCATGCTGGGGGGGAGCGCGTGGGCTTGGGGTGCGTGCTGGGGGGGAGCGCGTGGGCTTTGGGGTGCGTGCTGGCGGGGTGTGTATGAGCGCGGGG